TCTGAAACAAATAAAAGAACTTTCTATTAGTGCAAACGTGTATATGCAGGTTTTAACCATTCAAGACTCCAAAACATAATCACAATTGGACTACTTTACACACAATTCAAATAATAAATATTGTGAAATATAAAATTACCACAAATATCGCATTTAACATATGGTAAAGGCTTCAAACTCTTCAAGTAAAAGTAAGCACCTTCAGTTTCTCTCTCTCTTTTAATTCTTTCCTCTTTCTAGCATATAACCGATTAAGAAGCCGGATACGTGGATCATCAGTTATGTTTCTCAAAGGTTCCAACTTCTCCTCCTGGATTGAACCATGTATACATGAAAAATATGGATGAAAGAAAATAAAAACCAAGGACTTCTGATAGCAACAAACCTCTGTGAGATCATCAGGTAAATGGAATGTCTCACGTATCTCCTCAGGTGTTTTTCCTTCAATAATTCGAGCAAGTGCTCGGCTAGTGAGATCAACCAAAGGCTTCAATTGGAGGCTGTCAGCGGCAGATGTCAACTCACATAACTTTTTTGTATCCATTCGAATAAATTTCTCGTCAAAAGTTTTGCGTTCCTAAACAAGATAACAATACTCTCAAATACATATAACAATTGAATCATATAATTACTTCTGACTTCACTGTGTACATGATGATAACGGATAGCAGAATATTAAAACCTCCACTTCTCACCCACATAGCATACATTTTGCTCCAATTTTTATACATAAGCTTCGTATCATTTCTTGCTAATTGGTGAACAATATCGTGTAGGAAAAGCAAAAGAAACCATGAGTACCAGATTTATGTATCAGACCTTATTAGAGCGACCTGGTACTTGATGAAACCGGCAGTAGTCAAGTATTAAGCCCAAAATGGCAGGGTTAACTCGTTGAGGAAGTGATATAGCATAGTTTTTGGAAGATCCCATCCCTGTCTGCAGTATTTCTCGGCAGATCATGGGACAAAACATGGCAACCTCTTCTTCTACTTGTTGGATTGAGCCGTCAGCGGTCTGAAGCCAGATGTAAGACTTCATCTAGTTGAACAAAACATAAGACAAATTCAGAGGGAGTCGAAAGAGAACCACAATTAATGTTCTCCTAAAGTTGAATGTATTATCTTAGCTTGAACTACCACAGAACCCATAACCCTAGATGTGGCAGTGTTAACTACCATCTTAAAATAATTTCTATGCAGCTGAAATCACCACAACTAAACCCCTTAATATTTGGGTCTCACCACATGATCTACCACATAGAAACTATTCTCCATCAAGATTCCTGCAAGAGTTTACCCTAAACCATAAACCTCAGACATCTTGTTCATCCTAAATCAAAATCTGAAAGGCTTGTTTATCATTAAGAGAGAGAGAGAGAGAGAGAGAGAGAGAGCAAGTATGCCCTTGAACAATTTTCAACAACTAGACAAGAAAACCTTCCTGTCATACTCAAATGACAAATGGCCCCAAAAGATACATAGGCAGCTAAAAAGATAAAATGAACAAAATTGGATTGACTATGTTGTCCAAACTAAATAATCTCATTTCTCTCATTTATAACTCATCAGATAATGAAATAGCATACCTCAGGTTTGACTACCGCCATGACACCTTCTGACATTTGACAGTGATACTGCAACTAAACTTTAGAAGATGTGAACCAGAAACCACCTTGCACCTCCAATTCCAAAAACAAGGAAGTCACAAGGCAAATAAAACCTTTTCTCTATTCAAAAGCTTAACTTTGTTAAGTAAGGACAGACTATTTATCAGTGCTTCCCAAAATGATACGATCTTGAATCCCAACAAAATGTGTATTAGCATTCTTATCCGGAGAGCTTTCTCAAATATTTTTCCTGTATTTAGAGGTAACAAACAATAAGAGGCGGAGAGCAAACCAGAGATGATATGCCTGAAATTTCAAGATGAGTATCAACAATAATTTTAATTTGACTATAACAATCAACAGTTATAATTGTAACAAGAAAAAAGAAATGCCAGTAAATTTATAGAAAAACTTCAATGGAGTTTTTCAGTGTCTGTGTGCATAAATGAGAGATACTGATGAGCACAAAGACTTGTTCTTTATCGAAGGGAGGAGATCCCAGCTTCCCCATGACAGTAGATTCCAGTTGTATCAGTTTTCACTTGTTCTTATTCACTTTACACCAGTACATTCCCGTACAACATACAAGTTATTGGTTTCCAACTACGAATAGTCCATCTAGAGAGGTTGGGAAAGTTGAGAACAAATAAATTTCACAGTAGCAGAGCAAAGCTCATAGTCAATACCAGACGAAAATATAAGAGATTGAATGATAACTACAGTACATAGTAGTATATAACTGAAACATGCATAAAACCAACATTCTTAACTCAAGATAGTATCCTGGTCTAACAAAGAATGGGATGGAGACCGTAATTACAAACAAGACAACTTTGCATTGGAAGCCAATTTATATAGAATCCTAATAAGAAACTGGACACCTTAGGTTCTTCATCCCCGGGACCCAAAAAGAAATATGAACGGAAAAGAGGAGTGTAATGCAAACAGTTGGTTTGCTGGCCAAATAAGAACTGAGAAAAGAAGAATACAAGATTCAAACTTTTATCTTCCTAAACGCTCTCTTTAGGTTGCCAGGAAACTGAAAAGCCGAATTTCAATGACAAACAAGAAAATTTCAGATTATAAACCATGTCAAATGGTTTCGGAAATCCAACCCATTTCCACCAAAAGAAAAATCTTCAACTTTCATTATTGAAGATTCCACCTTGCAACTAAGAAAACCCTTATCAACAATACTATTCTATTTTCATCCAGAAACGACAACACCATTTCTGTTAAAATATATATATACAATACCTTTAATTGATAATCAATCGATTAACTAATCCTGAATTCAGCAAAATATAATTAACATAGATTGCATGCATACATATATAAAGATATGTATTTGTATTAGAAAGAGAGCTTAGCCTACCTTAAATATGAGCTGAAATGCATGGAAATTTTTTAGACAAACTTGTATGGTGAAATTGGGGGTGGAGTACTGGTAGCTAGGGTTTCAGAAATGCTCTATCTCTGTCTTTCTGTGTGTTTCCTTTCCTCTGTATATTTCTCTATCACGATTTGAGTCTCCGTGCGGTTGTGTCCGGCACGTGACTCTATCAAAGAAGGAGGCGCCCTCACACGTGCTGGTAGTTAGGGTTTTCGGACTTTTGGATGGGGATTCGGGAAGGAATCGGCCCGATTCATATTTGGGCGGGTCGGATTGTAAGCTGCCAGCACCTCTTGGGTTGGGTCAGGTTTTTGTAAATGGGCCTTAACAAGCAACTATACGGGCCACTGCTACGTCCCACATTGTTTTTCGCTTTTTTTCTTTTCTTTTTTCGGATCTTTATTTTCACCCTATCTTATCTCATGCTTCTAAAACTCAAGTCCAATGCCTTTTATTTTTGGGAGTTTCACTAAAACACCCAAATGGGGGTTGAAATTATAAAAAAACCCAAGCACTATTTAAACATATAAACACACCCAAAATCCATCATTACACACACTTAAAACCAATTTATAAACACACCCAAAAAGTTGACTTTGAGGTTGATTTTGGGTGTGTTTCTATGTTTAAATAGTGCTTGGGTTTTTTTATAAATACATGTCTAGGATTGGGTTTATTTATAAATTTGTATTTTTTTTTTCCCTCTTTTAAGATGTTTATTTATCTTTTCGTTAAGCCTACACCCTTAATCATAATGCTTAAATTCTTGGTTGAAGAAAAAGTAATACCCCTTTTTTTGTTTAAGATTATGAAATTATTAGCATATCTCTGACTTAAACCCTTCATTTTTCAGTAGGAATGGCCAATAAATACCCATTATCAGGGACAGAACTATGCACATGCTAACTTGGGCTATAGCATAGGTGATTTGATCTTTTATAGCCCAACATTAATACCCAGCCCACCCAAGTGCACCCCACACACCCCCACTCAATAGCTGCTTCACTCTCTTCAACGTGACTACTATATCTACTCGCTTATCAGCGCCCATGCACTCAACCAATATTTGCTCATCCAACAGTTGGTTTTTAAAAAATAATACTCACACTCATTGAAGCTACTCAAGCATGATTCGATATTGTTAGTGCAATTAATACCAAAAGAAATTTTTTGAAAATTAATACCAACATTAATTTTCTTTATTTTTCTAAAGTTTTTGTACTATTCAATTTTCCCTATAAAACCCACCTATTTCTTCAAAATTTTCATACCACCAAAATCATTTACCACTCTTTAATTTTGCTTAATCTTTTACTCACAAAATTATTTCTTAACTGCTTGTATTTTTTTTAATTAATCTCTCAACATCATTATGAATATATTATTTATTAGTACATGTGTGAGAAACTTCCTCCCCTTTAGACTATCACTTGTATTAAAAAAAAACTAACGGCTTTTTTCTTGTAGTTTAATGTTGTTTTTATTTAAGGTTGTACTAGATGCATTTTGAGGGGCTCATTATGTTCCCATATGTAGTTTTTGTTATCAATGAAATTCACTCGTACTGTCGAGTAATTTATATTTTTAATAGGCTTGTACGTAAAGTAAATTTAGTCCACTTCATTTTGAAATCATGGATCCATCCATGCCCATTATGTTTTTAAGGAAAGTATAGTGATGGTGATAATAATGGGGGTGTTGGTGCCATTGCTTATTCATACTTTTCCGTACTTGAAAGTGATTTGAACTTAATCCTCTCAATTTCTAATCACAAGATGAAAAATCAACTAAGGCATGTGTGTAAAATCTCAAAAAAACAATAAAAATGGTATAAGAGGCTTATAATCAGTGGCGGATCCAGGATTTGAAATCCAACTGGGCGAAACTTACATTAAAAAACTCGAGGCTATGAGTGAATCTTATTAATAAACATAAAAATATACACCTAATAAGATGACATAATGAGCCTTACCCTTAAATGCATCTCTATACATAAATAAAAGTATAGCGGAAAAAAAAAACTATTCTTTTTCTTAAAAAAAAAAATTCCAACAAATTCTTTATTTTCTTGGGGTTCAGATTGTGATTTGACATAACAAAAGATAACTTATTTAATCCAACATCCCAACAAAAAAATCAAATAAATTCTCATAATAACATCAATGCCTTTAATCAAACATTAACATACTAACAACAAATCAAAACATCTCAACAATACCAATATCAAATCAAACATCTCAACAAAATTCAAAAAATAAAAAACCTAATTAATTTCAACAAAGTCAGCAAATTCTAATTCATTCTTAAGTAAACTCTAGAATAGATTAGAACACATAACTTCTAACCTATTTAGAATATATTATTAAATTCAATGTTGTCATATACAAAATCTTAAAATTTGGGGGTAGGAAATTAAAGAGAAGATAAATTTTAGGTTATGCATACATATGGCTTACTTTTTGGGTGGACATTGATTTGTATGTTTCACATGGGTTAGCCTATTCTATATGGGTATTTTTTATTTTTGAAAATTTTGGGGTGGGCAGCAGCCGCCCTTGGTGTAGGTCCGCCCCTGCCTATAATAGTTGCAAATGTGTCTCATGCCAATAAATACGAATTGATAATACCCTGTGATGGCGTCCCAAAACTCCTCATGGTTTTTTTTCCTTTTAAATGGGTGTTATTTCGAATAACTAAGGTTTTTTAGGTTTTAGACATAAAAAAAATTTCACTTTTGGAAAAAGCCAAAATTTTTTCAAAAAAGACAAAAAAACCACTCAACTTTCAAATCAAAGACATGCAAATGTATTGGATTCCTTAGGAAATCTAAAAATAAATAAGGGCATTTTTGTCCATTTTTGATTCTTTTAAAATTTTTCTCTCTCCTTTTGCTTTTTCCAAAATGTCCAGAATAACTATTCATAGTAACTGAGTTGACCTTACAACTTTGTGTATGGCCAAAACTGAACTAGTGTATTCAGGAACGGCCACATAGACATAGCCAGGAACACAGAACAGAAGAAGCTGACTGGCTGAGGCTCCACCCCCTCACCGCTGTTTTTATAACGTGCTTTCCAACAGTTAAAAACTACTACTCACAACTGTCGCCAAAAACCCACGCTTTCCCATTTCTTTGCGTTCTGTGAGGTATCTGAGAAAGGAGAGCCAGGGAGAAAGATGTGGTTCTTTAGAAGAAAAGGGCCATCTGGGTTCTCATCCTCTTCAACGGCAGAAGAAGTTACTCAAGGGATTGATGCCAGTGGTCTCACTGCCATTGTTACAGGCAAAGTCCATTTGCTTTTTCTTTCTTCAAAATTGATATCTATATATTTATTTTCTTAAACTCTTATCATGCTATTTTGTGCAGTATATTTTCATCTCTTGATAAGATTTTACAGTTGGAAGATAATATGGATCACCCATTTTCTAGTTATAAGGATGACTATCAGTTCTTGATTTACTTATAATAATAATAATAAATTAGAATTTTGGATAGTGGTAGGTACCCAAGATGCTAATTTTTCACTTGAATCCTTTTTTGCTGATGCCGTATTGTTTTGACAATCTGAGATGAATGCAGTCTAGTTTTGTGTTGTGGGGTCCATTTCTTGTTCCATATTACTCAACAATCAACAATCCAATATTATGTATCAAAATTTACCCTCTTTCGGAATCAGTTTTCTTTTATGGAATTCTAATAGAATGATTGTGTCCATCCTTGATATATCAAGCACTGTAAAAAGAAAAATTCCCTGAAGTTGTGGAGTGTAGCATTTGTAGCCGTTTATGTCCAACACTTTTATGTAACTGCGGTTTTCATTCAAAATAAGAATTGACACAGGAAGTTTACACAGATCTTAAAGTTCTTACATGGTCTTATGGGCAAATTTTTAATATTTGGCTCTGCATATTTTCATTGCAGGAGCATCCAGTGGTATTGGCACCGAAACTACACGCGTTCTTGCACTGCGTGGTGCCCATGTGATTATGGGAGTGAGGAATATGGCTGCTGGTAAAGATGTGAAAGAAGCAATAGTTAAGGAAATCCCCACTGCCAAAATTGATGCCATTGAATTGGATCTCAGTTCATTATCATCTGTGAGGAAATTTGCCTCAGAGTTTAATTCCTCTGGTCGTCCTCTAAACATTCTAATGTAAGGGTGCAAGTTTTGTCACATTTTGTCTTATCATTCCCTAGCAGTGTCATATTCATAACCCCGATGTGTCTCAAAAAACTCACCTGTGATAATTTTACTTTTCTTTCATAAGTAACAATGCAGGAATTATGGCCACCCCTTTCATGCTTTCGAAAGACAACATAGAACTTCAGTTTGCCACAAACCACGTAGGTATGTTGCATTGATTAGATCATGAAAATGGCATTTTAAGTATTGTTTGTTTTAAGCTGTCCTAATAGACTGAATGTTTTGTGTTTTCCCAATTTGAGCAAATAAACATTCAAGCGAGATGACTGCTTATATGTCTCTTAAAATCTTGTTTATCTCCCGCCGTCCTTCCTCTCCATTGCCATCTTGCTGCACACAGAATTGTGTGACTTACGTGGAAAACCAGACACATAAGATTAATGTGCAATACTTGTCCCATTCTTTTCCTGATTTTGCAGGTCATTTTCTTTTGACCAATCTTTTATTAGATACTATGAAAAAAACAGCACGTAAAAGCAGCAAAGAAGGGAGAATTGTAAATGTGTCCTCAGAAGCTCACCGGTATCCATATCGGGAAGGAATCCGTTTTGATAAAATTAACGACCCATCAGGGTAACAATGAGATAACCCTTACTTTTGAGATATTATTTTATATGTTAGTGTGTGATTTACACCTTGTTTTTTTTATTAAAGGTGGATGGAAGTGAGTTACGAATTCGATTCTGATACCATATCAGAACTTGTGCACGGCTTAGCCGCATAGTCTATTTATCTAATACATTTTTGTTGATAGCATATGCTGTGAATGGAGAATTCTATATGCTTTATCTGAGTTTGGACCGGCTCTGCAGGTACAGCAGTTTTGCTGCATACGGTCAATCCAAGCTTGCTAACATTTTGCACGCTAATGAGCTTGCAAAACGTTTAAAGGTATATTGTCTTCTCCCAGACCCAGGTGAAATGAATGGTGCCAGAGTTTGTCAATGGCCTCTTTAAAATCCAACTTTTAGGCAACTGTTCACGCTTATATCACTGCTTTTGTATTATATTCTTGCTGAATTGGCAATCAGCAACTTGTTCACGAAATGTTTCTTTTTCTCCATCCGTCTTACTTTTTCAAAAAAGTTGGCATTGGAGGCATAAGAATTTTCTGTTATTTATCTTGAGAGGGAGTGCTTCTTCAGTACCTCAGCAGAATCATCATTCATGAAAATAGCAGCTTGCATACATCTGCCCATATACGTGTATTTTTATACGTATGTATTCTCTTTTTTTGTAATTTGTGATTGTTTCAACAGGAAGATGGAGCAGATATAACTGCAAACTCACTTCACCCTGGTGCAGTTGTTACGAATCTTTTCCGTCACAACAGCACCATTAATGGTAAGCCCTTCACTTTAGCACGAAAACTACATGAAAAAAAGAGAGGAAACTTTGACGAGGCTTCTGTATTCATTATGTGCTTAGTTTCAGATATTTATACTTTTGGTCTTCTGGTTTGATGCAGGGCTTGTCCAACCTATAGAGCAAATAGAAGATGAAGTAAATTTGAGTAATCCGGAATGTGATGAATTTCTAATACTCAAGAAAAATATTTTGTTTCAAATTCACTCTCTAAACCATTTGAATTCAGAATATGATTGTTTATGAACTTTGTCGATTATAGGGAGCAGCAACAACATGCTACGTAGCACTGCATCCACAAGTGAAGGGGGTAACAGGTGAATATTTTTCAGACAGTAACCTAGCCAAGCCAAGGCCACAAGGTCAAGACGCGGACTTGGCGAAGAAACTCTGGGATTTCAGCATGGATTTGGTGAAATGATTTTCTGGAAACTCATCACATAATACTGTAATTGCTATATAAACATTCACATAATGCACATTGGATATTCCCTTCAAACGACAGATTTGTTTGTCGTTTGACATCTTGTATTAACTTCAAAAATTTCATCTTTCAATATACTCATACCCTAAAACCGTAACTCCTAATCATACTTCTGCTTGTTTGTTCAATTTGCTAATCACATGCCACGTGGCAACCCAAGAAGATATAAGAGACATGTGGTTAGATTTCTTCATTTCACTTAAGTGGATGATGTACAGTACATACATACATGATACAAGAAAGAAACGAGGTACAAGAGTATACAATGTTACACATGAGCCTGCAATAAATCAGTACAAGAACAGAATGTGCAGGCTTCAAAAATCCCCAACTGACTATTTCGTTAACCAAATCAGGACCCCAGCTCAGTCTCCCGTCTTCTGTACAGCAGTTTCAGACACAAAAAAATTGTTCCAAAGCTAATAGTTTTCCCTCTTAGGCTCCTTCTTAGCCTCTCTTTCTCTATATGAACATCTCAAAAAATATACATTTCTTGCTGCTTTGAGTATTTTCTTACCGAAAAAACTGCAATACATTTGGATCATCAGAAGCCATCCTCGTCAGGCGAAATCAAGCTTTCATTGCTCCAATCAGTCAAGCACTCAACTTTGTACAAGTCAAAACCGCGTCACATTCTATGTACTATAAAAGTCTATTATTTGTCAGGAATTGAGCTTGACATGCATGATTTCAGAATCAGATCTCGTCTGGCTTAGCTTACCAAATGCCATAAGCCTGAACACTGAGCCATGCAAAAGAGTTATCTGCTTCCAGCCACTAACTTTCCAGAGCTTCAACCTTATTCCACAGTTCTTCAACTTTGAGTCCTTATTGTACAAATATAATTTCCTTTGCAGTTCAACATGATGGATAGTTGATCCAGTATATCCAAGAATGGTCTGATTAACTTGAGAGCTTGAACTGATTGGTGGGTCCATCAAAATTAGTTAGACACCGTTTGTGCGGCTGGGCAAAGGAGAGTTGGGACTTAAATCCAGAGACAAGTTCATCTTAACATGATCCTTAAGGAGTTGGCGAGACACACGATCAGCCAAAACTGACTGTCCATCATACTGCTCTGCATGGGCAGGCCTTACAAATTGCTTTCCCAGAACATCATTCTCACAAGGCATCAGTTCTGAGAAGATATGAGACCCTGGCTGCTTCCCTCGAAACATGTCAGGACATGAATCATGATAGGAGGAGGGCCCATTGACATAGAAACCATTCATGGGCTTTGAAATGCCTCCAAAACCCTCTTGCAAGTTGATGGACTGTTTCATGTGAACAAATGGAATGGCACCGCTGCCACCTGTGAGTGGTGTGGATGAGCCTGAAGTGGTTCGCGGGCTAGATATAGGAGAAGGTGACATTCTTCCATTTAGGTGTGGTGGTGACCTCGAGTGCAATAGAGGACTTCCGATGGGTGAGACGGGGCATGATATGTTCCTTGGAATATGGATCTCACTGGAGTTTAGGAAAATAAGATCAAACCAAAATCTTATTATCAAACTGTTGTTGTAATCATCATCAGGGAGAAACATAGAGAGAGAGAGAGATATATATATATATATATATATAGAGGGAGAGAGAGAGAGACCTGGTATGGCTATTAGTTTTTGAAACTCTAGATGAATGAATTGCAAGCCTATCTGAATCCAAGTTGGAGAAATTCCTTGCTTGCCCAATGCCCTGACAATGATCAATAAAACACAACAGATGAAAATAAGAAGCAACAAGAGAGGACTCATAAACTTGATAGCATGCACTATGCTCAAACATAAATAGAGAATGAGCACAAAACTACCAACACCATAAGATACCAATTTTACGTTTGTTGTAAAAATGGAATTCATACCAGTGCTTTCACTCCATTTGTAATCCCAGAGGGTGGATCAGAAGGCTCAAGACCCAAGATAGGCCTTTCCAAAGGTGCAGCATATTTCACAAAAGGATGCTCCAAAAGCTGAGCAGCTGTAGGACGATGGAGTGGATTTCGCTGTAAGCATTGCCTTATGAAATCCTTTCCATCATCCAAGAGGTGATCTGGAATTGCTGGCAGTTCCCTACTATTCCCAATCTTAAACATGGCAGCAACCTATTAACCGCAAAAAGAATATATTTATACAATGAAAAGAAAGAACAAATAATGAATGTGTTTCAAATATACGCAACATATTATTACACATGAGCCTCAAACATGAGAGAATGCTTGAATCAGCTGCTATGATCTCAGTCTCAAATTCAAATAAAAGCTTTCATCACTAGATCTAAATTCTTACCCCTTCATACTGGCTCCAAGGTGGTTTTGTTGTAGCCATTTCCAAAACAGTGCACCCAAGACTCCATATGTCCACAGCAAGGTTACAACCACTTGAGTTTTTTATAACCTAGGGACGCAACAGAAGTGAAGATTAGGTAAAACCATCACAAAGTATGTCACCGAGGAGATGAAGGGGAAAACTAGAAACAGTCTAACCTCAGGTGCCATCCAGTAAGGGCTTCCCTTAAATGATAAAGGACATGACTGGCCAGTGATCTGCAAAACACACAAGATAAGTTTGGAGAGCAAGATTGATCCACATAATTAAGGTCAAGCAGGCTTGTTCTGTGGTATATAACATATTAGCAACTAGAAAGTAAATATGGAGAAAAAAAGTTCCAGCCGCAAACTCATGCAATTTCATTTAAGATCACAGTTTTATCAATTATTCTCTTTGCATGCATTCACAAAAGCTCTCGACAGGGTAGAATCTGCTGATAGGAATATCAAAATGATAATGTGAACCACAACCAACCATTACAAAAGAAATCCTATTTCCCTATTCTTCTGGTCTCACGTGCATAATTTAATAGTCATTTCATTTAATAAGAAAAGTAAAAATGCCTATGCTTACATGCTTTGCCATCCCGAAGTCTGCTAACTTGACACGTCCATTTGGGTCTACAAGTATATTTGCTCCTTTAATATCCCTGTACAAAAGAACACACAGTTTTATAAAGATGAAAGCTGCTTAATGTCCAGTATATACATTACAATCAGTATACTGCAACGGTTGAGCTTCAAATTACTCAATCAAAAATAGGTAATGAAATTCACCTGTGGACGGTATTTTTAGCATGTAAATATGCAAGTCCCGACAAGATTTGCTGAGTATAACTACGAATTGCTAGATCACCAAATTGCCCATAGTCTTGGAGAAGTTTATATATGGAGCCGCCAGATACATACTCCAAATATATATACAGCCTATCACCAACCTGTTATACGAATGACTATCAGCTTACATCAAGTAGAGTACAACGGTAATTGAATCTTCAATCAGAAATTAATAATGCAGATAATGTGGCTTTATGGCAAACCAATTAAGAGTACCATGCTTAGCTTGCTAAAGACCTGTGAACTGACAAGTACTGAATACATATAGCATTAACTTCTTCAGAGTCACTCTTGTCATAACTAAACATGCGATAATGACAAACAAGACAAATAAAAGATTGTCGTAAGTAATGGTTTTTAAATGCGTAATATGAATAATAAATAATGGACAGAAGACTTACTGATTCAGACCCATAATATTGCACAATGTTTGGATGCCGTAAACGACTCAATAAAGTAATTTCCTGTCAAAACATGCAACATTAAAGTCAAAACAAAAGACAGAAAGCATATAACGTTTGTCCAAGGAAGCTTAATGACACATAAAACAGCATGATGATACCTGCATTAACTGCTTAGCACTTTCTTTGGACTTTGCATCGTCAGAAAATAATGTAACCTCCTTCATTGCACACATTTCGCCACTTTCACTAAACAAGTTAATAATATAAATCAGGTAGGATATTAACTACTAAGTGAGAGAGAGAGAGAGAGAGAGAGAGAGAGAGAGAATATAATTTAGGTATCTACCTATTAAAACCAACATAAACGTGTCCAAATGTCCCTCTACCCAGCAGCTTTCCCTTTTTCCAGCGTGAACCAGGACTTGCTGGGTTCTCTGCCCTTCCTGGACTTCGTGGCACAGAAGGAGATGTTGCTGCTGAATTTGAATGAGAAAAGGGAGACGCATTAGAAATTGTCACAGGAGGAAGAGGCAAACGATGACTTTGTTGTTTCCCATCATCAGCCCAGCTTGTCTGTGTCTCATTAGGAGTCCCTCCTGCTCTAGGATGGATAGGTGTAACAGCACCGCTATGAATTCTTGATCCTGGGCCTGGGCTTGTCATTCTGGGACTGGGTACCGGAGAATACTCAGGGCTACCCCTGCTTTGCTGCCAAAACAATTGTCCAGACATATCCCCTCCCATTGAATTATGCCCAGAATTGTGACCCGAACCTGGACTGGAGCAGTGCCCAGATCCAACTAGGGTGACATCTGTATAAGTTTTTGCAGCCCAGAAAGCAGTGTTCACAACTTGCTCATTGCCAAATGCTCTCATTGGACTTCTAGAAGGACTTGACTTTGAGCTGTCAGGAGCACTGCAGAATGCTCCATGATAAGGAACCTGTAGGTTTGGCACATGACTTCTTAAAGGCCTCCGTTTGGGTGATGTAGGGGAAATGTTATTGCTGAAGGAAATGGCTGATTTTTTTGGCTCTCTTGACTTTATTGGGGCAACAGTGAATATCTGATCCTTCTGCATTGAACTTCAGAAAAATTGCAGTAAATTTGTCAGGGATGAGCAAGCTAAAAGAATTACAAATAAATCATGCACATCCATGCATATACATAAAAGATGCTTACTAGTAGCATAATGGCATGTGCAACAAGTGAAAGCTCACCTGGAAGGGCTTCCCGCAGCAGTTCTATTCCCATTGTCATAGTCAGTGGCCTGAGGGCTACGATGGCATGAGTCAGCTGGATCATCACTATCAACGGAGCTCTCACTAAAAACTGAAGCAGTGACCATATCTCCATCTAATTCTGTAGGATTTGACCTACTACCAATGCACGCAGGCATCGGGAGAGGTAGAAACAATAATGGCTTAGAGCCTTTTTCCGATCTTGGTTTTGTTGATATACTAATTCCAGAATCTGTACGACCAACATGAGCAGGATGTAGACCAGGAAGTGGAAGTGGTTGAGCATTAGTCCTTTCAGCAAAACTTTGACATCTTGAAACATCTTTGGAGGGCGAAGGGGATCTTGATTCTACAGGGGATTGACATCCCTTTTCCGAAATTGTGTCATTGCAATGTCCTTGTGACCCTCCTGATCTACCATTCACTCTACTTTCTGATGAAAATTTAAATTTCCGATGTAATGAGTCAATGAAACTTTCCTTTCCTGCCTTCTTCTTTGCTTCTTTGGATGACGACTTCCCCCACCATGAAGGCATATTTCTCATAAAAATTTTACGGAATCAATGGGCAAGTACTCTAAAGCTATTTCATTTGCCAGCATTATAACTTATTGTACAGCAACATTACATGGGATTATCAATCAGCTAATTTTCTCTCGATCAGTGAGTGAGATTATTAACCAGCTACTGCACCTATACAGGTTTTGAGACCAACAGAATGTTCAGTTCTGACTTCCAGAAATGACTTTCATCAGACAGATACTAGGGAAAGCCACACCTTCCAATTCTAAAATATCAGCCAGTATTTGAATGAGTTCACAATTAAATTCGGTACATAACAAAAACCTGCAGGGATAAAGGCTGCAGGTCAGTAACTCCATTTCAAGGATCTCCAAATTAAATACAAGGCACAGAAGGCTATGTTGCAAAAACAACCAAAACTAAGTAAATGACACTAGGACCTAAATCCTAGTGTATAAAATTTTGTAGATCAGAGGAATCTGACCATTGCTTATGCTCGTGCCACACGCACTAACCTGGCTTAACATGACATTGACTTAATGCACTCAACAAATGCGAACCATTAAATTTTGGAGTGCACCACTAGGTTAAATTAGCTCGCACCCACTTCCTTCCAATCCAAAAACACTAATCTTTGTTTGGTTCCCTACTAAACGCAGCAAAAAGCAAATGAAACCTATAATTTCTAATCCAAAGCTTGATAAATTGGGCACAAAAACTCCGACTTCAACGATCGGCATGGACCCATTGGCTCAATTTTTCAATACCCAGAACACGAAATAACGGTAAGAATAAAGTTCAAAATTTCAGTTTAATCTTCTTTCACCAATTTTCTCGTGAACGAAACGAAAGGTTTCGATCCCAAATTGGTCGCAAGCACAAGCTTGCAACACAGATCTACTTACAACTAAATAACCTGAGCGGAATCAACAGCTAACTAACTTAAAAGAAAAATCAGAAATTTATTGTACTTAGATAACAGACAGTATGATACTTACTGTAAATATTAGGAGCTGCAAAATCCGAGCTAAACCCACTTGGAATCTGGCACTAATCTCAACGATGAACTTGATGAACTTCTTCTGATTGCACCGTGAAATAGCTCAGAAAACAAACCCCTAAAAATCAAGGGCTCAACGCGACTAATGGGATAAAGAGGATTTTGATGTATTTTCTTGCATTGAAAGGTTGAAGAGAATCGTCGCCTTTAGAGAGAGAGATAGAAAGAGCATGTCCGAGTATAAGACATTAATAAGTTGTCTGAAGCTGATTTTTTGTTTTATATATATTTTTTTAAAATTAATACGGATGATTGATGAAATATTTAATTAATGTTACAGTGCCAGGTTACATATACCACCTTCAATTCCTTCTGCTCTCCAACAAGGATTTTATTTTTTTGAAAACTAATGACATTTAAATTATGTTTTTGGAAAACTAATGACATTTAATGGTGTAAATTGCATGACTTTTTCCAACAAGTAATTTGGTGAGGAAGGATTGAATTGACGAGGAATTAAATTGAGGATGAGTCAAAATCTGGATTACATGAAGTTGTTTACTAAATTATTTAAAATCGGGGTATGTGAGGATATAATTGGTAGAAAAATATGAATTCCTAATGTGTTGGTTCTCTAAGAGTAAGAATATCACCTCCCACTCAAGAGTCTAATTCCTTCAAAATCATGAGTTGAATTTTCTAATTTTGTGTGTGACCCTCTTACATCTTCATTCCATGATGTGAGTAAACGCACGAGTAATCCATAATTGAAATCCAACTCTTTATTTTAATTCACACGAATTAATAAACACGTCATGACTATTTCATTACAAACAAATTGGGGGGGTAAGGAATTTTTTGAATATGATGATATTTTTAAAGGGGATTGTAATTTCTCGAAGTCATCATTTGGTATATGCAATAATTACTTCAAAAGAAAAAAAGAAATAGTGTAGTGTTGTGATGTAGATGGCAGCCCTCACTTTAAAATTTAAAATCATTCCATGATTTATCAATGTACAAAAAGTAAATTGAGTCTGGCGACAACTTGATTATACGTGCCTAAGGAAAAAAAAAACAGACAACTTGATTGATACCCAACATTTAATTATAAAGTAGTGCAGTATCTTTCTTTAAAAAAATAAAAATAAACAAGAAAACATTGCAAAGTATGGTATCCAGATTGTAATTAGCAGGCTAAAAATAATTAGATGAGTGAGAGTAACCTTTTAGCAAGTGAAATGCATAATTTTTTTGATTGCATGGTTCATGTATGTTGGAATTTAGTGGTGATTAAGAAACATTTGTAGCTACTCATTAAAGTAATTGTTTGGGGATGGCATAATTGGAGAGAATATAATGAGATTAAGGTTTATAGTCATATCGTACCATCATTTTATTCCAATAAAATATTGACAGGTTTTAATTGGTGCAATCAAAATGAATTGGACCATGCTACTAATTGTTAGGTTGAACTACTTTGTGTGGGTGTGTGGGTGTGTTTTTTGTTTTTTTATATTCATTATTTAAACATAATGAACTTTGTTTTCTGGGTAGGTATATTTGTTTTCTTCTTTTAATTATTAATATTTTTGTAAGGTTTTTCCAACAGGTTAATTAGGGTGTATATTAAAAAAAAATCATTATGCGTGCGTGATGATTAGGAAAACTTCACTTATTGATCATGATGTGGGGGTGGTTTGATAAAGTGATTTAAACTCTCTTGGATTCAAGTTGAATGATCAACAAGTTTAAATGAGATGCAAACTATCATCTTCAACCAAAATATAAATTAAATTAAATTAAATTAAATCAATCCGAAAGAGTAAATAAGTGATGATCAAACAGAAAATTCTTATAGAGTATGACGATTTCCTCAAAACAAAATAAAAGGGTAGCAGCATATATGTGTTTTTTGCAGGAAAAAGTCATGCAATTTACACCATTAAAAGAAAAGATGATGCTCTTTTGACCTTTTATGTCAGCAGAAAAGGTATGCTAAATAGTAACTTACATTTTTATTCTTTTTTTGTCTTTATTTTTTTAAATATATTTTTATATTGAGAATGATAATAATATATTAAACTCACACACATAATACCGATGCTAGAACTTGAACCCAAAATCTTACTTGGACGAGCAATTACTCCAAACCAACTACGCTAGTCACCTCCAATTTTATCGGATGTCCTCAAAGGGGACCTTTTTTTGTCTTCTAATAAGAAAGAAAATATTAGAAAAAAAGAAAAAAGAAAAGAAAAATAAGAAAAAAGAGAGTTGATAGAAATTGGACGTACTGGGCTCCTTGAGTTCACTTCACTTGACTGACTTAGGTCGTTCTTGTTGGCCCTATTCGGCACGTTATATATGTTGACACGACACTCGCTGTCTTTGATTTGAGGCTGAATAATTTATCAATTTGAATTCTGATAATTGTCAAAGTTTGTGAAACTTTATTCCTAGGTGATATTCGTAGCTACACATGAAACATAAAACATGAGACTGTTTTTGTTTGTTCGTTTGTTTTCACGAATGTTGATAATATTCGTAGGAAAAACAAGTTTTGATTTAAAGTCACTCAACTGCAATGCAAACATGGTACGTGAAAAAAGGAAAAAAGGAAGAAAAGGATAAATACTCGTATGAAAATTCGTTGGTCGAAAACTCTAGATAAGGAACAAGGCAAGAGACAAGGGTTTCGTGCTGGAGATGAAAGATGGCCAATCTAATCTACAGGGGTCAAGGGTCAAGGGTCAAGGGGAGATGTAACTAGGCTATTCAGAGGAGAGGAGAGCAAAACTTGTCGGATCCTTAGGTGCTTGCACGTGGCATGTTCCCTTCCCACACAAGAAAGATACTCCCTCTCTGTAAATTAGGGTTATGCCAGCTTCAGTTCTTACTTTCATCAATGTTTCTTAGATCATACTTGATTGAAATGGCTTCTAACTTCCAAGTCATCATAATTTCTTATTTTTATTTTATTTTATAATCTTGTTACATGATGTCATGATTTTTTTCAAGGACAAACTACAGTAACCCCCCTAACCTATAGGGTCATTTACGAGTTTATACTCGATTTTGGGAACATTTATGGGTACATACACAACGTCGCAAAAAATTACATATCGCCCCCTCCGTTAGCGATTCCGTCATGAAATCCGTTATGTACCTACGTGGCGTCTAGCTGGACAATTTTTTAAGGGCATTTTCGGCAGATCAGGTCCCTGGTTTTCGCGCCAACACGTGGTTTGGTTTAATTCAAAAAAGAAAAACAGAAAACCCTCAAATCGTGTTCCATATCTAAGCCCCCACTCAGACCTAGCCCCCAAAATCGATAGAAGTGGATGCCCAGGTTCCAATTCGAAGAAGACAAAGACGACGATGTCGACGAGGTCGACGATGTCTGCAAATCGAAGATGCGAAGTGGGCCAGCCCATTTGTCACTGCGGCAATCAATGTCATCTGACGACGTCATGGACTGACAACAACCCTGGTAGAAGATTTTGGGGCTGCGCCGATTATGGGGTCAGAAGAGGTTGTGCATTCTTTGAATTGTATAATCCACAGGTATGCGAAAGGTCCAAGATTGTGATATCTGGACTATTGAAACGATTGCGTAAGGAAGAAGAGGAAAATCGGAAATTGAAAAAAGAGGTTGGAGCTGCCTTGAAAGCACAAAGATTCTACGAGCAAGTGTTCTGGGTTCTTGGAATTTTTTTGATTGTGTTGTTGGGAATGCTAGTAGTGGAATGGAGAGACTCTGGATCTTCCAAGAATGTGAAATTAGCACTTACATTTTAGGGTCTATATCTTAGAAGAGTTGAGTGATGTATTTTGTGGCCATTTGTGGGACATTCTGGAGAATCAAAGTGCTTTGTGTATGAAAGGTCTGTTTCTTGTAATTTCCCATGTGAATTTGTATGAAAGATGTTTATGTATGAACAATTGTGAGGCAAATTGGAAATGTAGAATGTTTATGTATGCACAATTGTTAGGGAATTTCCAATTGAACAATTGCTTGAAGGCAAATTCCATTATATTTTGAGTTCAAAACACATGCATACATTTCCAACATTTGCATCTCAATTTTACAAAATGAACATGAGCACCTAATCTGGAATACAATAAAACAGCTACCAAAACCAGAAGTCGGTCCCCACTTAGAGTTCAAAATACCAGAAAGTAAACTTCAAAAGGCCACATCACAAAACCAGACATAATACTAGTTCAAAATCAAATGGAATTTGCATAAACTAAGAACTAAGAACTAAGAGACTATTTTCTCTGTCTCTTGGATGCTCTCAATCCTATTCCAGCAGTTTCAGCTGCATTTGGCTAGGAAGCATTTAGTGCAGCCTTCTTTGCAGCAGCAGCAGCCTTTGCCCTTACATATGCATTCTTTCTCTTAACTCTTGCAGTTGCTTTTGCTTCATCCTACAGACAAAATACACTCTCGGCTTCAAACAATAAAACAATGAAATTGCTTTTCCATTTTAAGGAAGAAACAACATAACATTTCATCAACATAACCTAGCAATAAAAATAGGCACTCACAGCAGCAACTGCAGGGTCTTGGTTAGATATATTTCTTGGTCTTTCTTTACCCCTTGAAAGGGGTTTTTCCTTTTGAGGTAGATTCCGATGGTAGGTGATTTTGTTATGGCCAGTTGAGCCACAAATACTACACCTCATTTGCATTCCTTGTCTTCCCAACTATTTTTTCCCACTCCTATCTATTCTCTCTTCAGCTCCTTTTATCCTCACCTTTCTAGGTCTTCCAGGTTGTCTAGTGTAGGCTGGGGACTTTATTGCTGGCTGGTTGGTCTTCTCCCATAGCTGTGATCCATTAATTGGCATAATGAGATTATTATAAAGGGCCATGTAAATGTCCTTACTGTAGTATGAATGCACATAATCATTGTTTTACCCTTTGCAGCAGCCTTTGCCCTTACATAAGGAACAGGAGGAATAGAATCAGCACATCCTATATCCTCAATCACAACTGACCTCTGTTTTTGGACTCTAAAACCTTCCACCCTTTGTAGTTCCATATCTTTGTGTTTGTTTAAAAAGGTATAAGGGTCATCAGCTAATTGTGTCAAAAATATATCTATCTCCCTTACTCCTGGCACACATTCACACATTTTCAGAATATCTTCATCAGACATAAGCTTCTCTACAGAAGCAGAGTTGGGAAGCTCATAGTGATATAACATTATACCATCATAGCCTAACTCCTTAACCATCAGACCAATTTCAAACATAGACATTTGGTCCTTATCACAAAAATCAATGAAATCCAGAGTCCCATTTACATACAGGTTGTCACATAAAGAACCCCCATGGTTCATTCGAATAGTAAACTTATCATCTTCACCTACAATGCCACATAACAGTCAAACCTATCAATACACAATTGTTCAATATTTAACTGGTGACTAAACAAGGACATAAACAAATGCAGAAGTTTTGGATCACTAAGTACTGTCTCCAATCAAAAGCAGTTTGGTTTGAAAAGAGAAAGTGTTTTTTTTTAATGCCTTTTCAACAACACAACTACATTTACTATCAACCATGGACCACAAATATCACTATCAAGCACACTTCAAAGCAACTGAAAGGTTCAGACAAAATCAAACTGCACGCATCTTAAACCTTTGCGAGGAAACCAAAAAGCAAGAAAATTTAAAAACTGCTTTCAACTTACAGTAACGAGGAGCACGACAACCACGAGGACGAATACCCCAGGGCATCTCGAATTACATCAACCCAGCCTTCTTTGCGCTTTCGATCGATGCAAAATAAGGATTAGGTTTCAATTTGTGCAATCGGTTTCGATTTGGGGGGGAAATCGATTTCGGTGATAGAAGTTAGGGACGATGAGCTTCTGGAACGATTAGGTTTTGTTTTGTTTTTTTTGAATTACGTTATGCCACGTGTTGTTTTGGGCGCGAAACCCAGGGACGTGAGATGCAGAAAATGCCCTTAATAGATTTCTTGAATTACAGAAGGCCAGACACCACGTAGGCACATAACGAATTTCATGACGGAATCGCTAATGGAGGGGGCGATCTGTAATTTTTTGCGACATTGTGTATATACCCATAAATATCCCAAAATCGGGTATGAACTCGTAAATGACCCTATAGGTTAGGAGGTTTACTATAGTTTGTCCTTTTTTCAAGTATACACAACCTATTTTGCATTTCATGGATAAAAAGGCCACAAAAAGAGAGCCCATGAAAGTAAAAGCCTATCCTTCGAACCCACCACATCATGGTAAAGGCCCAAACCCTAAACCCTATTCCAAAAGGTTGATGATTTTTGTTTTTTTGTTTTATGTTTTCATTGACATTGATCTTTACTTTGCACAAAAGTTTCACTTACAACAAGATTGATTAAATCAAACGCACCAACCAGGGCAAATATGATCAATCATCTTATCAGTGTCAAACCAATGGCAGTGACTAAAAGAGTGGAGGGGACGCCAAATTTGAGATGGCTCCAGAAGGATAAAGTGTATGCAAGGTATGGGGCTTGGCGAGCCTGTTCACACACTATCAGGTTGGCTGCCGATCCCAACAGTGATAGATTTCCTGCCACCGTGCTCACCCAAGCTAAAAGGAGCCATGCGTTCTTCTCCTCTGCCACAGAAATTGCAGCCGCTGATGCTGCCACCCGTGCTCCAAGCAACAGAACTAGCCAACAGAAAGAAGGTAAAGAATTTCACATGTTAAGTGGCAGCTCAAGTTTTGAGATCATTAGCTGTTGGTGTTCTTCAAATAGACATTCGAATCGTAAAAATAAATACAGCAACATACCAGTTGGTACATTTGAAGCCAAATTTGATAGCACAAGTATGGTAAGGGCAAGAACAGCTATCCCCGTAGCATGATCAATATGTGCATAGGGCTCCATGAAGTCCCAGAGAGCGCTTGGAATACCAGTTTTGTTAAACCCTTCGACGGTTATAAACATTCCACAGAAGAAAATTAAAAGTGAATACGAGACCTGCTCAAAGTAGAGGAAAAAAAAAAAAAAAAAGGTTATCAGAAGTGTAATCTAACATACAGAGAGAGGAGGAGCATATGCTTGTAAAATATACCTTTTCTAGGCTTGGCCGAGCATCTGTGAAATCAAGAACCACTAGAGCAAGTGCAGCAGTAATTGCACACCATGACATATTCAGACCCATAAGCAATGCAATCAGCATTCCTATAGTAACAAGGTAAACACCAGATTTCCACAGCAATCTTTTCCATCTTGTGGTCAGATTTTCCTTCCCTTCCAAAGACTCTGTAGGACATGCATCTCTCAGTCTATTGTTTGACGCAGCCCCTTCCGATAGGATCGTTTCCTCCCTTTTTTGAGAAGACACATCAAGTGTCCCCTCTTTTGAAGCAATTGAATTTCTGGCAGAGTCCAAAGCACCACTATGAACGCTGTTTATTTCATTCTCACTTGAAGGTAATCGGTTTCTAAGAGTCTCAACATTATCTATGTTCCCACTAAAATTTGGAGAACTTTTCACATCTGCGGTGTCTAATCTAAAGTTCAGTTCTTGGGAGTTTAAGGATGCACTATGTGACAATGTGGCTGGTGAAAACCGATGAGAACTTACGTCTTCCTCTACAACAACTTCTCCAGCTGGATCTTCCTCGTCCTTAACGACAGACAACAACCTCCAGAACATACATAAAAGGATTAATGCGTTCACAAAAATTCCCACAAGCATTGGAGGGAGAATTCCGATCACAAATTTTCCAAAAGGAATCTTACTCTGAACAGCTATAACCAAGTTCTGAGGATTACCAATCGGGGTTGCTGCAGACCCAATATTTGCACTTGAGGCAAGGGCAAGTAGGAATGGATGAGGTGGGAGGTTATGCTGTTTTGCAACTTTTAAAACAAATTCAGTCAAAACCACGCAAGAGGTATCATTAGTGAAGAGAGCACTAGAAATTGCAGAAATCAAGCAGATTCGACAGAGCAGATCCTTTGCTCCTTGGGTTTTCCACAAGAGCAACTTACCCAAATATTTGAACATATCTGCTCTTTCAAGGTAAATACTGACAACCATTGTCCCAAACAAAAGACCAAGGATTGGGAGATCAATAGCAGCATATGCTTGGTCGGGAGTTAAGACTCTGAAAATAACCATAAGCATTGCTCCTAGGAGGGACCCTGCAGTCCTCCCAATTGGCAGAAAAGGGACAGCTGGGAACACTGCCAATACCCAAAAGACTGCAAAGGCAATGGAGCCAAGAACCACTTTCACAATAGAAGCCATGGCCATTTTTCCAACTTAGGAAGCTCAGAATCTTATTCTTGATATATACATACGAAATTCCAAAGGCTTGAGAATATACTAAGAACCCTGCAGCTAACGATAGCGTGCATTAATACAGGCCAAAAATGTAAAGACCCTGAACAGGGAAACCAATTGCACAATCAGATTAAGTAAAGATTCAACTTTGGACACTGAAATAGACATACAAGGTACAACATTTCATTCAAGACCTGGTCAAACAGCTGCAATGAAAACAGGAACTAAACAACAAGTTCAGTATAAGTTACTATTGCAACTTCGCGTGGACTGTGAAGCTCAGTAAATAACAAGAAGAAAACCAGCCAAGATTGAAACTTTCCTACTGTCTAATCGTAAATTCTATACATAATGGAAATTTACAAAGATAGTATTAAGGGAAGAAAAAGTCAATGCCATATCCAAAAATTTGCTATGAAGAACTCAATAATATTGAGGGATCTGGACACACAATATGAAAAGAGAACCACACGTA